GGTGTCGAGACCATAAACACCGTGATGCACTGACACGACAAGCTCTTCGGTGCAACTGCTTGCGATCGTCCATCTCATGTCCACTCTGCCTGCATAACGACGCAGCGGCCTTACAGAGGCTCCTCGAACACAACAAACAAAGCACGACGTCAACTGATCGTGTACGAGGACCGACTCTGACTGACGCTTGTTCAGGTTTGCACGCACGACGATGTCCTTACACGTTACGCAGTCAATGCTCGCTGGAACTCGGTTCGTACTAGCAGACCGAATGGTGAAGAAAGTCCTGCGTTACTCGATCGCCACAACATCAGCATATGCGACGAGCTGCTTCTCTCCAGTCGAGCTTTTCTCGACGACAATCGAGTCGCCACATGGGAACCCGAGAGTGTTTGCCGCTAAGCACACATTCGCCAGTCCCCATCCGTAGATGTTGTTGGGGTATTCGTGGTACGTCGTGTTGCCACATTCACTAGGCACGAGAAACGGCTTGTGTAGTGTGCGCGTGGTCGTCTGCGTCAAACTCTGCAAGATTTTCTCGTAGGCTATCGGCTTCGTATGATTGAGACCAAGCAACAGTGCGAGGGCACCAGCTACGTGTGGTGTTGACATTGACGTCCCGGTGAGTCGAGTATAGGCGTTATCCCCGACACTCATAGCCGACCGAATGCCTACCCCAGGAGCGACAAAGTCGGGCTTGATGACGTAGTCGCTGCTCGTGCGGGGCACTATATCGTCAAAACCTTGTTTGCCGTCCAGGCTTGGGCCCTTTCCACTTGCGCCCCAGAGTGAACTTCCTCCAATCAACGCTCCAACTGCGATCGTGTCTTCATGGCTGCCGGGATAATACACGCTTCCGCACAGGAACCCATTGGTGTTCCCACTGGCAAAGACCGGGTAAACTCCGGCCGCTCGCCATGCGTCAATCACTTTACTCAGCCACGTCCACTGTGGGTACAAAGGCGTGGATCGATCAACGCCAAACGAGTTCGTTACCACATCAGCTCCAAGCGAACAGTTTGTGCCCGTTCCATCCGTCCGAGTTGGACACACAACCCACTGCGCAGCTAGCAAAAAGTCGCTCTTGTTCGCTGCGCCCCAGATATCAAACGCCCGTGCAGTGATCCACGTCGCTCCAGGAGCGACTCCAACCCCTTTTCCTCCAACCGCTGTTCCCATAGTGTGCGTTCCATGACCCACCTCATCCGCCGTATCAGGCGTCTCCTTTGCCACGTCCGTGCCTGGCGTAAACCAGAACGAGTAGTCCAACTCGACTTTCCCGTCCGCTTGCGTTCCTACCATTGCACAAAGAGCAAGGACATGTATTGCAACAGCACAGCATCACCGTAGCACAGCACATGGTAAGCTCCGTATTGTCCACAGCTCGTGTTTTCTCTCTTGCTTCATGAACATACTGCGCACCTCGAAAACTATCTCTCAGAGCGTCGTGGGTGTAGCGCACGCCCGAGTCAATACTTGCCACGACAATGCCGTTCCCTCTTCCTCCTTGAGCCCAGAGCTCGGGAGCGTGCAGTAGCCGCACGTTCGTCTGCACCTGAACATTATCCTTCGTATCATCGTACACCTCCTGCTCCTCCTCCTCCTGCTGTGTCTCCAAGAGCGTCAAAACACGCGCGTCTTCCTCCACCTCTACGACTCCTGGAAACGTCCAAAGATCTCGCGTCAAGAGCCGACCGAGCGCTCGATTGTCCTCATTGTAGCGCACAATGAGCGTGTTCTGTATCCATAGAGATAGCACGTGAACGTCCGTCGCGCTCTGGGCGCGCAGGAAGCGGCCAACACAAAGCTGCACGTCGTGGACGAGGTGGGAGGACGTCTGGTGCACATTGTGGCGCTGACGAGAGCGCGAGAGCAATGGCGACTGAGCGAAGGATCGAGGAGTGAGCTGGGGGTGCAGATGCACGAGCAGGACGCGGTCGCGAGCGTGCAGCGGCGGCGGTAGCACGAGCGCGAGGAGCGCGAGAGCAAGCGACGTGCAGTGCATTGTCGCGTGGTCGGTTGAAGTGGGAGGGTGAGTTGCTATTGGAGAGGTTGATGCTGGAACGTAGGTACATGCGACCACAGAGGGTGAAAAAAGGAGCTGGAACCGTACTTTGCATGTCGGTGCTGTCGTTCCTGAGTTGCGGGGTGCGTACTTAGGCTCGGCCAGGTGTCGCAAGTCGGATGAACCCAACGTGTCACGGGACGGGAGTAGTTGCACACTCATTGGACGGTGTGTATATCGATCGGAGGAAGGGCTACGCCCGACATGATCGCAGTGGTCAACCGACGGACTGACTCAGTGTACGACAATCATCATCGTCACCATCGTCAGTGTCGTCTCTCTTCGTCATCATCGACGGTCTTCTTCGTCACCGTCACTATCGTCAGATATCGTCGTCCATCTTCGTCCGTGTGGGTCTCCTGTAGTGAGTCAGCCGTTTGTTTGGTAAACACGGCTGTCCACGTGGACATGACACCCCGAAGCGACAGCTGTAAGAAGAGGGTTTTCTTCTTACAGCGGCTACGCAGAAGTTGTCCCCGAGAGAATGAAGTAGCCATATTGCTGCCGGCCATCGCCAGACAAGCAGAGAGAAAGACAGCGAGAGAGAGAGAGAGAGAGAGAGAGAGAGAGAGAGAGAGAGAGAGAGAGAGAGAGATTCAGACATGCAGACATGCAGACAGAAACCAGACCGAAAGGCACTTCGCTTGCACGTCCAGCACCTGCGCATCCCCGTCGCCCAGCAGCGCAGCAGCTGGCGGTGCGCCTTTTTAGAAACGCCATATCTCTCAGTTCTCCAGAGTGCGCGCGAACGATAACAAAGAAAACCGTCTGAAAAAATGCGGTAGTCAAACGTCCGCACCAGACGCGCACAAATTGTCCGTCCGTCCGTCCATCGGTAAGTAATCTATCCCTTGTTCCAACGTCAGTCGTTACTCGCTCAACTCTTTCGCCCCAGCGAGTTGCTTGGGCCCTCCTCCTCCCCCTTCCCCCCCCCCCTCACTGCTCCATACAAACGTCCAGTCAATCCGCTGCCGCGCGACCGCACGCTGCGACGGGCCCAAGAGACAGGACAAACGTCGAACCCTCCTTGTTTTTATTTCCCTACCCCTCGCCATCGGCGCGTCCCTCGCTGGCTCGCGCTCCTTTGCGCAGAGGGCACTTGCGGGACATCGCCTATGGTGTGGCTCGCCTCGACGTGGACGCTCACGTGCAGCAGCTCTGCCGTCGTGCTGCCCGTGCTGCTCGAGGCCGCGCTCCTCGGCCTCGTGCTCTGGCGCACGCTCCATCAGCTCTACTGGCGCTCGCACCCGCGTCGCGTGGCGCTGCATGTGGTACGGTGTCGCGGGTATCACTTTTGAGAGGGTATACACTGTCACGGGCTAACCTCCTGCTAAACCGGTGACACACACACAGGTACTATTACTGACGTGTGCCATGCGACTCGTGTTCTGGCTGTCCATGTGTACGCCCCGCGTCCTGAGCTTTGGCGTCGCGTGTTTGTGGTGGTCCAATTCCATGGTCCTGCTCTGCACGGCCGCTGTGATCTTCCAATGGTCCAGCGCCGTCATGGCGGGACAAGTGACGCTCCAAGAGCTGCACCGGTCCAAGCGGATCACGGTCTTGCACCCGCTCGTGCTGCTGCACGCGATGCTCTTGATCTGGACCACAGTCATTGCGATCGACGTGCTGACGCATGGATTGGACACGTTCAACAGTGTGGCAGGCTACGCGAGAGACGCAGCGTCGCTGTTGCTGGCCTACCGGGTCGTGAATACAGCCACGTTGACATTTGATGCCGTTGTCGCGTGCTACGTGGCGATGCGACTACGCGAGCGACTGCTTGCGGCGGCCATGGCAGACAATATGAAGAAAAAGTCTGTGCTGCAGATGACGCTGCTTATGACGCTGTTGACAGCGTCACTGCTGTTGCAGGTGATCATGGACGCACCGATAATTATCTCGGGCGTCGAAGACTCGTGGTCGTCACTAAGCTTTGAGGCCTTTTGCATCTGCAAGTATCTGGTCCCCGGTATAGTCCTGAGCGTGGTGTTTCTGTATATCATGCGGCGGGTGGAGCAGCGTGAACCCAGGCGAACGCTGGTGATACCGTCACGGTCACTGGTGGAGTTTGTGGAATGCTCTTCGTCGGACTGCGTGTGGTGCGCGCACCATCAGCGATACCACTTGGGTCAGAACAAGTGGGACGCGACGCTCATGACGTCGTTCTCACCGCGAACAGTGGATTCGAGCGACCATTCGTCGACATATGCCAACCTATCACAAGGCTCGTGGTCAACGGGCAGCACGCCAGAATTGCTGCCTACGACCCCCTATTTGACGCACGAAAGTCATCACCGTCCCTATGAAGCGTATTTGCCTCACATCCATGTGCACCCTGCACATGAGCGTGTACACTTTCCGATGCAAACGCACGGAGATTATGAGTCACCACGAGATATTTTGGGGAGACGAATCGGCTGTTACAGCTGACCATCTGTGCTTTGTGGAAGCCATGTCGGCGGAGCACAGCGACAAGAACCAAACGTGGCGCATAACGGGAGAACAGATCTGCCAAGGGATCTACATAGTTCCGACAACAGTCGAGGCACTACTAGGCGGCGGACGACGTTGATGGTCGGGACGGCTCTTTATTTATCATATCGAACACGAACGAAAGGAACTGACGCGTGACAGCAGGAAGTATCCACAGCCACGCGTCGACCATAATGGATGCGTCTGGAAAGGATGATTCCTTTTGTCGAGCGGAAACATGCTACAACTGCTACTGTTGTATGCGTGCCACTTGGACGGTCTTCGTACAGAAGTTTCAGGTGGCGGTCTTGTATCTGAAGTGGTTCATTACCGAGCAATACACTCTCGGCATCAAGTCATCGTCAGCCTCGAACAAAGACTTCGATTCAATCGCATAACGCGCATCTCGAGCACAGAAACATGCCCGGCTGATGATGAGGACATATTTGTGTCTATGTGTGGTCTAATCGAGGCTGAGCTGGCACGTCTTTGTGAAGTTGATCGGGTGGGCTTCGAGCGCCTGGTCAATGTTGTTGAAGCGATGTCGATAGCGTGTAAACCACTCGACCGTCTCGCGCAGACCTTCTCGCCAAGGCGTCTTTTCTTTCCAGCCTAGCGCACGGATTTTGGTGGCGTCAATAATGTACCGGTGGTCGTTGCATGGTCGGTCTTGGACGTGTGTGACTAGTTTGGCCACCTCGAGTTCCTGTAGTTCTGGTTTCATCAGCGCCAACAAGTCCATCGCGACTTCCTTGCTGGACAGTTCGTTCGTGCCGCCGATATTATAGACTTCACCCACGGCTCCTTCATGCAGAATCAAGTCGAATGCTGCAACGACATCCGAAATGTACAAGTAGTTGCGCGTGTGCCTGCCGTCACCATGGATCGTCACTGGTCGGTTCCGCAAGATCTGGTTTACAAACTTTGGAATGAGTTTCTCGGGATACTGATGCGGGCCGTACGCGTTATTACTCCGCGTGATGATCACCGGAAGTCGAAACGAGCGATAGAAACTCGTTGCGAGGAACTCGGCACCGGCTTTCGTCGCTGCGTACGGGTTCGTCGGCTCCAGCCCATGGTCTTCTGTCATTGGCGCCGACTCGTTCCGGCCGTCACCATAGACCTCATCCGTGCTCACGTGGATGAATTTCTGAACTCCATGTCGCCGCGCAGCTTCCAACAAGACATGAGTGCCGCCGACATTGGTCGTGCTAAACTCGAGCGAGTTCCCACAGAACGAGTTGTCAACGTGAGACTGCGCTGCAAAGTGCAAGATCGTGTCAATGGCCTCAACCCGTACGACGTCATTGACAAGATCGGCGTCGGTGATGTTGCCATGAATGAATTTGTAGTTTGTCGGTAACGTTGCGCAGCACATGTCCGGCAGATAAACGTCGGGGTCGTCACTGTCGCTGTTACTGCTGTCGTGTTTACGAACAGCACTGCAACTATTTTCACAGCAGCAGCCGTTGTCGTTGTCACGTTTGACAATACTGTTGTCCGAATCGGTTCGACAATGTGCTTTGCTCGAAGCTGCTGGCCCACCGCCGTTACATGCAATGGCCGAGTGCACGTTTTGCACACAGGAGCAATAGTCCAGCGCGTCGAAGTTGACAATGTAGTACTGTGGATACCGCTGCACGAGGTGAATCACAACGTGCGACCCAATGAAACCCGCGCCACCCGTCACGAGAATGCGCTTTGAGAACGACAGCGGATCGACGGGTTGGTCCGCTGTCGTCGTCGTCGTCATTGCGAGCGGGAGGTAGCGATAGACAGGTGTGTGTGGATTCGAGTATCTGTCTCGAGCTGGCGCGTGTATGGTGTGGAGGTGGTGGGCGTTGCGAGCTCGAAGAAGTTGACGTGGCCCAAGGTCGTTCGTTGCCTAGACGAGAAGCTACTTAAGTGGGTCTGAAGAAGCTGTGCAGCTGGCGGGCGCTATCCACCGGCAGACGCGACCGACCACCTGCGCTCGTGAATAAAATTAGACCAGCGGACCGACCAACGGACCGACCGACCGACCGACTTGTGCTACAGAAAACACGACCGTAAGCTACAGAGGCCTTTTGTCGGACAATCGCATCCACTGCGTGCAGGAGTTGTCGGCGAGCGAAAGCAGGAGCGACTATAGCAATGTTTTTATTGCTACAGTCGTTCGTCGGGGTCCCTCGCTCTCCCTGAGCGTCTTTGCGTCTTCCTTTGTGCGGATGTTCACCACGAGACCAGCAGAAAACGGTTGTTCCGCTTTCCGATCGTCGAACACGCAGCACGAGGTCTCGCAGACCCGTCAAGCGGTCGATCTGCCATCCATGTCGCTCGTGGTCATCAACTCGAGCGAAGCACATACCCGTTCGTCCAGATACCGCACGACGTGTGTCGAAAGCTACAGATCTATCCATCATCTACTCGTCCGTGATCCAATTCTTGCCATTGCTGTGTAGTAGCTGTTGTCATTTGTTCGCACCCCCTTCACACTTCTGTCCGCGGCGGATCGGAACAAATGTATCACCATTACGCTCGTGCGAGATACCTCAAGTGTCAATGCTCTTCTAGTGCGACGCCGTGACGCTATGGAGCTGCGACCCACTAGCGACCACTGAAGCTTTCAAGCATCGAAGCGCCACTCTCATCGTGCACGCACTGATCGATGTCGCGACCATAGCGATCTTTGCTGCGTTTGGCCTCACCAACGAAGGAAGCAGTCGATTGAAAATGCACGACCCCGTCGTTTGCGCTCAGGTGAACGTCCGAGACTACTGCTACGTTTGGGTCCATGTGTCGATATGCTGGGCACCCTCCTATCCAAGATGCGCTCACATCATCTCAGCTTTACACGTTTTGCTTCGTGACGAGTCCGAACCGAGACAGCCTCGACAGCTTTCCGTTCGTCACGTCCTTCACGTGCGTCTGCAACGAGTCGGAAGTATTTGTTGGCTAGACTTACCAAGTTGGTTGCAGTAGGAGGGAGAATCGAGCAGGTGGGACGTCTGGTTGGGGCGTGCTATCAACCATACACCAAGGTCAGAGAATGCAAAGGTGATTGCTTGTATGTGTGTTGCAATGAATTACACACGGATAGCAGCAGCTCAAGGCACGTGTTCATTTCAAACGCATTTACATGTGTGACTGTGTCCTTTCAGCGTCGGATGAACTTCTGAGGAGGCATCCCAACAAAACCCGATTGGTACGGGGAAGTTTTGCTGAAGCCTCGTTTGAACAGTGAGACTTCATGTCCTAAGGAGAGAGCGTTGCCCGCCTTCTCGACGTTTTGCAATCCCCCTTGCGCGTGAGCGTTACTGGAAAAGACCCTAGCAATTTTTCTAACGAAGGCTGCGATGGCGGTCCAAGTGGCCCTCTCCTCTCCCAGATCGTCCCGACCGCTCTTCTCGCTAGCACGAAGGCTCCGTTTTTCCCTCGTACGAAGCGAAGAAGTCGTTGCAGGAGGCGACTTGTTCTTGGATATGGTCGCGCCAACGTTCGCAGCCGTTGAGGCTGCAGAGCCGATCGCGTGAAGCGAAGCCACGACAATGACCACGTAAAGACTAGTGAGACGCATCTCCGTCGAAGTTGTCGAGGGAGTGAGGGGATGTGGAAGTCGATGGTCTGCGGGGGGGGCGAGGCGAGTTGTGGAATGAGATTAAGCGACGAATCGAGATCGACTCGACAGCAAGACGCTGGTAGCAGCAGCAACCAGTCATACTCTCGTCTCGCGTTTTTGATAATGACTTTTTCCTGGTCGATGCACAATCAACAATACGGCTGCCTAGGTGTATCTCCCGAACATGTTCCGAATGGCGCGCGCCACCTCGACCTCGAGTCTTCCGTACATTTGTCTCGGGTCCCGTTCATTACGGACCCATATTGCATCGTGTAACGCTGATTTCTGATTTCTTCGCGACTAGCGCGGCACGCTCAAACGACGAGAGACCGTCGTTGCTGTGCTATAGCCAACAACATCCGATGCCTTCGTCGGCAGCGTCGTTCATATAACAGCAACAACAGCCTTTGGCCCCTGCGAAAAGCATGCTGGTAAGCCACAGATGCCGCACCTCATTTGCTGCTGTAGCATTAGGTACCTTGAGATGGGAATGTAGGTCTGTCTGCTACAAGGTTCGGTGCAGAGCCCGTCTCGTGCCTTCCGCGCGGTCGTTTCTACGCTCGATCCGTGAAACTGCTACCTAACGCGGGCAAAAGTGCCACTCAAGCCTGCACAATCTGATCCAAGTCCTTTGCTTTCTACAGTAGCTTTAACGACGTATGGTGTACGCAGAGACTATCAACGCGAGGCAAATGATTGAGTGGTGCTAGAGCCACATGGCATTGAGCATTGGCATTGCGTTACCAGCCCCATGGAATGGAGACCACAAGAACTCCCAACCAAGTACACCATAGCTAAACAGCCAACTCTTTCGTGACAAGCGGTCAGTAGAAAAGCTATCGAGCCACGTGAGCAGCTCTTTGCCCCGATCGCCAACGAAGTGTACCATCCTTCGAGCTCATTACGGCAAGACGGGAATCTCCACTTCACACGATCACAACCTGACTGTGTCCATCCAGCTGGGAAACGTCCTGCCAAGACGGCGATACATCAGCGTTGCCTTAATTTTGGGCTTTGACTGATACGAGATGTAAGATTTAGTCAGCTAGACTTTTTAGAAGGAAGATCTAGTAATGCTCTCAAAAATACTCACGAAAACAGAAAAGTATCGCCAGATGATAATCAAAGGCACCACAAGAGGAGTAAAGTCAAACATATGCACCAAAGATGCTAGAGGATAAACCTACATCCACGTATATGTTTACATGCAAAAGAGGATAAACCTACATCCACGTATATCTCTTTGATTCTCTCTCTTCTTTCAGAAATAGAAACCTTTTCATCTTTTCGTGCCGTCATTTTGCGAGACGGAAACGGCGCCTTGACGTTTCAAGCACAGTCTGACTTTGTTGATCGTCGTTGCTTGAAAAAAAACGTTGGATCCATCACGTTACGTTCGTCACGTTGCGTTTGTCTCGTTGCTTCTATCACGCTGCTTCTATCACGCGCTGTGTTTTCCTTGCGTTCGTCTCGTTGCGTCTACCCTTTTGAGGTAGATCGAATGGATTTGTTGGAAGTGGAGTTGTCATAGCGGACACTCCCTTCCGGGTCGACGCCCCCAGCTGCCAAATTTGGTAGTTATAGATGGTGATTTGTGTGGTTACACGAAGTCCTAGAAGGTTCTTAGTTGTTGAGCGCAGGATCGAGCAAGATCTCACTTCTAGATTGATAAAGCCACTGACGAGACTACCGGGGGGAGGGCGAAACGCGTCTGGCGCGCGTTTTAATACAGAAGTCATTAACCATACTTTCTCTAATTCCTACAGGATTTAATACGGTATTGTGTGTAGCTGCCGCCTCGGCGGCATCGTTGACTATAGGCGGGATGAGACAGCGCATTGTCAAAATGGCGCTTGCACTACATATAGTGTAAACGATGTACGACACAGGTAGCAGGGGCAGCATTAGACGACGGACAAACTAGGCGGAAATGAGACATGATACCGAAGAGCTGACAGGAAAATGTTGGTGGTGGTGGAGGCAGTCAAATAGATGTTTGCGATAACGTGATGTGGATCGCACTTTGACGAAGCACGTGATGTGGATCGCACTCTGATGAAGCACGCGATGCCTGTAGAGTGTCACGGTTGCCACAGTAGAAGTTGTTAATGGTGGTAGTGGTGTTAGTGTTGATCGGAGACTGCTGTCTGGATGATGTAAAGAAAGACGCACTAAAGCTATCTGAATAGAAGGACACGATGCACGCAAGCGTACGTATCTCGGTCTCTTCAGTACATATTGGCATCGAACATGTAGCACACTATACTGACTCTTCATTAGGCTACATACTTCACAAAACAATCGGTTTACCTGCGTTCTCGCACAAGATTGATGCTCGTGTATTCGGGTTTATGGATCCTGTACTAAGGTAATTGCAAGGTACTCGCGTGTCAACAACTTGTATGTTATGTAACTTAGCGATGACGGATACACAAGACTGGTCCGACGGCACTAAATTACCGGGTCGCCCAATCTCTTTCGAAGTGCTCTGACCTTTGCATAAATGTCAACGACAACATAGTTATGTTCGATGTGATGCAAAACATGCGTATACTCGAACGTATTGTGCACATCATTGTTGCCCATTTTATTTTCGTGATATTTTGGTGCAATTTATACTACAACCTCCTTTCTAGAAACATCATTGGAATGCGATCGATCATTCACGCGTTCTCGGACGTCTTCCCGGAGCCATACAATGGGTGAATGGACCGAGTCCATGAGATGCGTGGATAATCGGTATACAAAATAAACAGCTCACAGCTGCAATTGATTCTGAGTACTAGCCACGGATCGCCAACTTGCCGATCCGTGGCGGCAAGTAGGCTAGAACGTTTTCTAGATGCGTAAACCACTGCACTACTGCAACATATAACCAAGTCAGATATCCAGCTCTTGGATCCTTCGCTTATACCGTTGAGCACCTCGCTGAATTGCCGATGGACATCAACGTGCCTATGTGACATCGTCCTACGGAAGATTGATTTGATATCAAACGAAGCGCTTGACATACGTCCGTATGAGACGTGGTCAGCCAGCAACGACTTGAAGACGGCACGCGCGTGCGCATGTAAGTGACCACGTGATTTATTGGGACAAGTCGGTTTGCCCGGTATTCTGTTGGTGGTAGTTTACAGTCGTATGCGCACAATTAGGACATGCGATTCTAAGAACATCAGACGTGAAACAATTTCAGCTTGTGCTACAAAGCATCACACAGCACAAAGCAGTTCAGGCGGACCCGATCTGCAGACCCTGTGCTTGCTACGATTAGGGTCCCTTATAACTTGGGTGCGCCAAAAGGATACACACGCAAGTTTTTTTCCGCAGCTGAATGGGTCAACTGTTGCCACAGGGTAACAGACGGGATAAAGTAGAAACGACCGCGTATTTCTGTCGAGTTTCTTTCGTGTCCTGATGATTTCCCAGCCTTCTTTTTATCCACTTTGTATGTAGGTTCTTCCTACATATCGACCGATCGCTGAAACTAATTAACAAACTACTTGTGGGCTGACAAAGTGGACCAAACGCGGTGCTTCGTCACGAGCATTCCGAAAACCGTCACCGTTTGACGTGGTGTACGTTGACGAAGACGCAACAGAGTCATTCGATACACGTATGACTTTGAGTGAGATTGGGTTAACTGGGCAAGATGCCCGCACATCGGAATCACTTGAACGGGATAGTAATGGACTACGCCACCCCATCAGTCGTTGCAGTCGTACAGGCAACCGGTTGGCCAATAAAGTAGGGAAGAACCACAGCCACGGGTTAAGTTGAATCGACTCGTGATTCGTGTATTGCAACAAACGCGGCTGAATTTGTGTGAGCTACTGCTGCTGCTACCACCATCTTCGACTACGCGTCGAGAATTGAAAGGATTTGCTGGCCAGGTATCAAGTGGTTCACTTTCTTCGTCGCTGCTCAGGAGCACGAAATGATTGGAAAGGCGAGATGCCGTCTGGATCGATGCAACTGCCGGTGCACCTTGTCAAGAAGAGCATCGTAATGCTCTGAGATGAGAGCAAAGACGTGCGCTTGTGTCCGAATGGTCTCGGCCGTTTCGTCTCAATCCGTCCAATATCGAGGAAATTGGAGCCGCATTGCTCTTGCCATGTACGAAAAGCATCAAAGTGAAGACGCTGACGCCTTTTCCAGGAGCTGCACAGGAAAGCGAGGACATGTACGCGTGCACACGATACCAACAGCTCTTGCTGAAAAACAGAGTAATATAGTCAAACATTGATCAAGATCGAAGCCATGAATCAGTTGTCACATGGTCATTGCATATGCACATGCCGTATTAAGTACTTGTTAACATTGACACTACAATGGGCTGGTTGGCGTTACCACACACAGTACGTGTGTCGTAAGCACGGTCTAGCCAGCATCAATGCATTTTGCGAAGCCTTTACGACACACTGTATATCAAACTACCACGTCTGACAAACAAGTTTAGCTCCTGGTGTTCTCTCGCAGATGGTTTGATAATGTTACCGTCTGCAGGGCGAATCGTTGCAGGAGCTCATCTGTCGTCGCTAATCCGTCGATCTCGCACGATACTGCGCTCGCACTCTTGCGACTACATTCGGACCACGAGTACGTGCCTACTGAAGTCACGCTAGCTGTGTCGACGATTGCACTTCGCATCTTGTTACCGATGATGCGCTTTGGCAGTGTCACACTGCAACAGGGTAACGTGCAGGCGAGCCTCATCCAAACGTATGCAAGCCGCGTCCGTTGTGCACGTCAAGCTCTTCACGCAATGTGTCGGCGCACACTATAGCTATAGCCACAATAATTTGCACGGGTATTGTCACGGATCCGCAATAGGGCTTAACAATTGCTCTTACGCAGAGCAACAGACGATTCGTCACAGTCTTCGGACATGGCATCGTGCCTCAAGGCGCGTCCGGTGCTCCACCGGTTCCCATGGTCCACCCCGGGCGCAACCTCAACTCACGCCATCTAAAAAGTCCTACGAAAGCAAACTTTCCAGCTTCACTATGTCTTCACCTGCGCACTGTCAGTTTACGGAGATCAACCAGCCGCAACGACGAGAGCAGATACATGGCAACGCACTGCGCTCGGGCAAACGTGGGACCATGAGAAGGAACGCTCAGACTATCGGGTCTAAACGAAGTACCCGGTTGCGACTCGGTCACTCAATCTGTACCCTGTTGAAAGAAACGATAACAGGAGATGCAGAAAGTCGCTAACATCCGATTGAGGCAGTAACGAATACAGTTGTCCACCGAGCAGCGTTAGTAGCTATTCACGTGCGCACAAACAGGTTTTGGGCTTCCCGCATGTGCCAACTCTCAGCAATAGTGAAGACATACATAAGAGAAAAACGTGAGAGCACTGAAAGCAGCGTCAGCAACTACGGGTGTTATCTTGTTGCATGCATCGAGTTGCCAGAGCGCGAACCTGAGGATTCCCAGCTTTCACCAGGGTCGATCACCCGGCGCTTCATCCCGATGCAGGTATTCATTCCAGCAATCTTGCGCTGAGTTAAGGACGTATCGATCGACAACCCTGAACTGCTCTGTCTCTCACATAACAAGCCAAGGTGTGGGCCTTTTTCGTCAGCTCTTACGCTCTCTTGGCATATCTTACGCTAGTCGATCAGTGTATACAAGCGCCGCGCCGTTGTGAACACACGACCGTTAACAAAGCAAATGAGCGAGCGAAACAGACGCTTGAAAAGAGGGCACGCTTGACATGATGAGATGTCGAGTAGTCGATGATGTTGATATTCACCGAGCTCGAGCTGTGTTGAAAGCCCTCGTAATACAAGATTGGTGCACCTGCCATGCTCATGAGTTTGCGATCACTAGATCGAATCTGCTGCTGGTAGCACTACGAGTGGAAAGACTTCTTAGGCCTCGTAGATCCATCCGCCAAATTTTGTCTAGTTTTCCAATATATTCGCTCGGTAGGCTACAACCCAAGAGCGAGAGAGAGAGCGAGCGAGCGAGAAAGAGGACGTCTGTTACTCTAGAAGTGTCAGAAATAAACAACCAAACGTGACGGCGGCTCGAGTGCCGTAGACGGCTACAACATGGAGAGCCCATGTTCGACGCGGCGGGAACATAGTTGAGGCATGGAGCAAATGACAAACAGAAGAGACCACAATCATGTTTTGATGGTCTACTTTTATGAGAACGTGTGCAAATGTGACGAGGGCGATACTGCACACAAACTCCTTGCCATCGCAGACGTCGTCGGGCCGCTTGCTACCACCCGTCCGCTTGATCTTCTTTTTTGTGATGCGTCTGGTATCGATACTTAAAGTAGTGATCAAGGATATTCCACTCGGGAAATGACTTGCTCTTTATACCGTCTTTTAGTCCCAATATGTGCTCAGACAGCTCGGTCGGTGACACCTTGTGGTAATACCACGAATCAAATAGTGCACCTTCCAGCAGTCGGGCAACGTCGTCTCCACGCCGTGTGCCACGCAACTCGAGTATGAACGTCGCCAGTATCTTGTTGGTGTAAACATTGGCAAGATACGTGATCCATTCATCTTCCGGATGCACCCTGCTGGCATACCACAGCCAAGCCCTAAACTTGTTGCTTGAAAAAAACTCAACCACCAACTCGTTCTTGGGGCCAAGTTTTTCTGGTACCTTGAAAGCATCGAGCCCTAGCTCGTGGAAGACAGCACCGATTTTGCTAGTGTGTAAGGAAGCAGTGGCTTCCTTGCTTGCACGAACAAACTGGTCGATTATCCCATATTTCAGAAGGAGCTCCGCGTCGCTTGCACCATCCATAGGAAGGTCGGATGTCGAGAGGCGCTTGATGAACTCCGTGTCGCTTTTACCGTCGATAGGAGCACCGATTGTCGCGAGTTGCTTGACGAGCTTCTCGTCGCTTTCACCATTGACAGGATGGACAGATGTCGCGAGTCGTCCAGCGGGCTTCGTCGACTTTGCAACTTTGATACGCTCGGTGGATAGCGCGAGTTGCGCAATGAGCCCTAGCTCTTGTTTAAAAGTGATGGGATAGCCAGACTCCACTAATTGCATAAGTCCCTTCGTTTCGCTTTGCTGTGCACCTCCGATCTTCGCAAGAAGGCGTTGAAAACCCCTCTCCTCTTTGCCTGATCGCTTACTGGCTGCCTCGTGAAGAGTGTCGTTCTTGAAGGAGTGCTTGGAGTCAAGCGATGCCGCCACGACCGGTTCTTCTGACGCTGTGGAACGACCAGCACTGTCACCAACCGTCGCAGCCACGAGCAGGAGGAAACAGGAGAAGTTCATCCTTGGTTTGGAGTGCTTGTGCAGCTCTGGGCGCCGGAGAGCAAGATGGAAAATGAGCTGTATGTTTCGCCGCCTCGATGACGTCCAGAGAGGTACACGGTCACAAGCGTCGACAGCTTTCTTGCCCCTGGTCTGTACATGTACCTGTTTGTACCTGCTTTCGGGTGTACAGGACCGCGTCGATCGTACCCCAAGGCTTTGTTCGTGCATGATCAATCTATGCTGCATCTGCGATATGTTGGCACAGCTGTATTCACAAGGTTGACGACAAACGCACGGTTTCTTGATCTCCCATCTCGAGAAGCAGCCCCGTGAGATGGGCCCGAAAACGAGTCAGAGACGATAGCCTACCGCCTGCCGTAAACATTGTGCACCGTACGTGCTCAACGCACGACTGTGCGCTTGCATCAGCTCAACCAGCGCGAAAGCAAGCAAAGAGTGATTCTGTCGTGCCCAAAACGCATCGTGCAGTCACGCGTGTGAGGTGGATGAGAGAACGTTTTGCGCGTGCTTCGACAGGTTCGCTCACATGCTCTCTCCTCCTGCTCAGTTTGCTACTTGTTCCTCTTGACGTGATCGTGCAAGACCGGACGGATCAAGTCGAGTCAGACGTGGCAAGGATCTGCGACACGGAGTTCGTAGTCGGTCGTCGGTAAAAAGGAGCGGGACAAGAGCGAAGTTGAGGTGACGCAACGTTGCAGAGGTCTCGCTGGAGCCAGGCGGGAGCAATCAAAGGTCGAGGCTGGAAGACCGTGGTCTTGTCTCACGTCTCGCGCTGGATATAAGTGTGGTGCTCGGCTGCTTTGATGGCTCCAGAATACAGAGATAGGGGCTGTCGGGACGCAGCTGACTTGCGTCATGATCGCTGCGAGTAGTTGGGATCGTAAATCCTCGACGTCGAACCGTAGCACATAAGTACCGCCCGCACAAGTGCAATCTTTTTGCACCATTTGGCTCAGATGGGTACGAGCGTGGCAAGTAAATTTGAGTCACGAGGAGACGCGGCGTCGATGCGGGCGACGTTACCACTGCTCTTGTTGTGCAGCACATCCAACCACTCGGACAAAGATGACTCACAGGAACAGTCACTTTGCAGCGTTTTGTACTGGACCTTCGGCCATAGATGATGCAAATGTGGCGCACGTGTAGCCGAGGAAAGGTGGCGGGTCACGAAGGCGATAGCGTTCTGCTGAAGACAAATCTGGTGAGTGGACTATGCCGCGGACCGCGCACAAAAGTACGCTGCGACTTTATCGTCACGGTCACGCGCACTTTCACAGGAATGTGAATGGGTATGCACGTCGTGCATCCACGTGGGGATTGCGTGCCGATCAAAAGGTGCCGGTCGCGGCTGACGGGCGACCAGAGTCTGCCTGCAACGAAGTATTGTCGAAGAAGAGATGTTGCTCTGTCGCGACACAATCGTTCAGCCTTTGCACAGGCACTGCAGTACGTGCGACCGACTGCTTTGGAGAACGGGGCCACGAGCTACGAGAGATGAAAGACGGCATGGAAAGGAAAATCGAAGATCGTTGCAGATTCAACCGCATGCTCTCCGAGCTCCCACGCTCCAGCTCGACGACGTATCTGGTCACGCCAACAGTAGATGAGTCGAGGTGGGTTGCGGTCGGTTGTGTCGGAAGGAAGAAAACTACTCGTGATCCCCTCACTCGCAGAGCTAACCGTCATTGTAGTACGTAGGGAGCGAGAGGAGCCGGTTCGTGCGTCGTTGCCGACCGTCAGAGACAGGTGTCGCTTGGCGAGTCTTGGAGCGCATGACAGCCAAAGTTGCAGTCAGCGTTGTCGCTTGAATAGAGCTGTGTATCCCTTGATAAAGTAGGAACGCGCACAGACAGCCACGTGCGACTTGCCTAGCAAGGAACGGGAGCCCTGACGCGGTACAAATGTCGCACTCGACAAAGACACGAGCGCTCGAGAGTCAGACGTTCCCCTCTTTTGTATGAACTCAAGCGCGTGGCAAAGTGATACACAGAAACAGTCGATTGGATCCCGTCGTGGCTCGGCGTGAATCGTTTTTGTGCCGTGGCTTCTTCAAATTCCCGCGTCATGTTTCGTGTACCCAAACAAGTGCAGATGCGACTCGATAAGCCACATACAATTTTGGGAAAGTCGAAACTCGACGTAGAAAAAGACCAGTGAGGGAAGCGCCGAGAGAGACTTGTGAAGCATATGGAAACACTGATCTGTTTCTTTGCCGGCCGTAAACATGTACCCACCAAGATACAGCTGGATGCAGCACCACTACAGGTCGCCCGCAAGGTCTTTTTTTATCACTGAGTCGGTACAAATAACTGCACTATTGCGCCATCGTCGTACAGTACTAACGTTAGCCCAAGCGATCTGTACGGGTTCAAAAGCCGACAGGTGCCATGGCGCCGCACGTGTTCTGTCGCATCGAAGCAGTGTGCATCATCTAGACAGTCATGATAGCATTTGAGGATCGGACAACTGGCTTTCATATCGTTAGGGACCTTCCGATTCAACCTGGCGTATATCTACTGCAGCCATTCCCAAAGTTTTCACGGTTCAGCCTAAAGCCAGTCTTTCCTTCCGTCTTCGGGGGCGGCCACTTCGGAGGGAATCCTCTCCCTAGGGGAGCCGAAGGGGTCCAGGTTCTGCCTCGAGCAAGCCGCACTCGTAGTCTTGGGTGTGGGCGTAGTGGACCGACGGGTCGCGCAAGCGACCAAGAAGGGGTAGTTTTTGAACGGAGGGACCCACGCCACGTATCACCGCTCGGTGGCTCAGAGTCCAAGTCCTGGGGGTCGCGCAAGCGGCCAAGAAGGGAGCCACCATCGCAGATGGATGAGACCCTAGGGCGATACTACGGCGGGTTGGCGTTCCCCACGCCTTGCGGTTGCTTCGATGACCGCACTCCACGTCAAGAAGGGAGCTTCTACCACTTTCGGACTTGTTGCCTTGGCGATAGCAAACGACAGACTACAGGCGGTGTCGACAGCTTTGGGGGTCGATTGACCCTATCATGTACCAAGGTTCGGCCGACAGCACGTGTTGCCGGTCCTCGACGTAGAATGTCTCTTTTATAGGGACCAGCCACGATTGCCCCCGGGTCTCCCGGCGCTCACTTCTGGCTTAGCATACTGCAGAGGTTACAGCGCATAGTTAACACCGTGCAAGTGGACCATCTGCACACCACCACCACCACCACCAAATTTACTGTAGCGATATGTAGAGAAATAAGAAACGACGTCAGATAGTTGCGAGAAAAAAACATGTGCCGCGAGAAAAACAAAATAAAAATGCACTGCACGATAAAAAAGAATGCACCAGAAAATGGGGAACCCCAGTGATGTGCGCTATTCGCTTGAGCGCATTAATGTGACGGGGTGAGCCGGCTCCATCATATCATCCTTTGTGACAATATGGCGATGGAGAATATTAAGTCTAATATTCTGTAGAGCAATTTCAGCGGTATTGTTGTGGTGACCCAAGGGTCTACTCATCAATTGTTATCACGCCGACATCGACCCATTAATCGCTGCTAGACGCGCGCAATGGGTGGTGGGTAGACATCATGATAGATTTGATTATAGTCACATAATTAAGTTAGAGCATATCAGATACAAGAGATATTGGACTGAAAATATATGTTTTGACAGTTTTACTTCTGCTACGACGAAAGCTATTGTTTATTCGTTTACCCTTCCTGTGTGCAGTGTATAGAGGTACCAACGCACTGAACCTCACTGTTGTCGTGCTTTTCAACCTACAAATGCTGTCGAACGAACATATACACCTGTTGCTGCAATAACTTAGCTGGGCATGCAAGTAAATAAGTGCTCGCGAGCTCACAAAGCGCTGGCGTCACCACGCGGAATGTACGAACTCGTGCAGAACCGTTCAGACTGGCCTATTCGTCTTGCGATAGCACTTCGCTTACGTCAGGATGGACAGACGTAGTTTTTGACAAAGAAAGAAGAAAGAAATGGCATGCTTTGCCGATGATGCATTACAAAGTCTTGTGCCGATTGTAAACATGTGGGCCCATGCAGTACTTCGTCTCGTGCCGGTGATATACACAAGTGAGACTTCGGCTCGATGCACCCACAGCAAGACAAGAAGGATGAACCATTGATATAGCGACCACATCCACATCCATGGTACGAATGCGCCATCTCGACCGACAGTTCTCTTCGCGAGGGTGGTCTTACATGAATGCTAACATACGATGCCTGTCAGCTAACGTACGATATCACTAACGTACAATCAAGTCAGCTACCGTACGATGCAAGTCAGCTAACGTACAAAACCTGTCAGCTAACGTACAATGCATGTCAGCTTACATGCATCGCCGATCGACACATCATGTAACATGGGCGACGATACCGACGAAGCCACGCAAGTAGCGTGTGGGTTGTAATTGGCTCCTTGCAACACGGCGGTAGGTCGCGAAGGGTTCCTATCATGAACAACCGCTTCTTCTATGCAGCCAATAGCAGTATGGTTGGCCATGGAGGAAGAGACACAACAACTGTGGCAGATTTGACTGCAAGAGCGACGGCGACAAAACGTGACATGCGGCTGCGCCTACAGTGCGCCCAGTCGCACACACACAAACTACGACAACAAGTGCGAGAAGGATCAGGCCAGTAGACTGGACTTCAATGCTGTCCATCATCTGTGATCAGTCCCTCAGGATAGACATCAGCTCCTTCCTACAAGTACTCACTGCACCCAAACAAAAGCATCAACACGACACGACACCGACACGACACAACACGACACGACAAGACTCGCGTTACCTGTCCGTCTGTCTGTCGCCTCTCTGTCTGCTGCGCCTACGCGTCAGATGTCCACTGAATGAATGAACGCCTGTGCACAGCCAAACATTCTGACGGACCACACAAGCGGACCTACAAATGAACATACAAACAGATGAGCATACAAACGGACGGTGCTGTGCCCACCAGCCACCCGTTCGTTCGTGCTCTGCCCGTTTCTTTCCATCTCCTGTCAAATCG